TATTTACAAAGTGACCCTGAGCAGGAAGAATGATGCATCTGACTCCACAATATCAGAAGGCTAATTAATTACTTTATTATACTATATTATAACTATTTTACACTCTATTACACTAACAAGAACTAAAGAACTCATGACTGTCTGCTGACCAGACAGTCCACACAGCTTGGACCTGATAGGCTAATTACCATAAACAAGGTCCACCAGAATCCAATCAAGCAATCACCTTCAGGAAAATAATCTTCCAACACATTCCACATGTTCAAAAACACAGGAGCAGCAAATGAGACAAGAATTGTATTGATCCTTCTTTTCTCTGCTTCTTGCTGTTCAGAGGGCATGTGAATACCACGCTCTCTGCTCACACACACCTAACAGAAATGTGTGTCCCTGGGAAACAAGGACCAGCTTCAGGCCCAGAGCTGCAGGACTGCTGTAGAGCTCACAACAGGAGAGCCACTACTTAAACATCCTTGTCCATCCGCCTCAAGGATCTGCTAGCTCAGAATTTAACAAAAATTAACCCTCTCAGCCCTGTCACCTTGCAAGTGGCACTTATATAAATTGTTGTGGTCCTCTCAGGGAGGGTCACTGCCTTTGAGGGTGCAGAGGACCAAGATCTCCTGTTCCTGGGGTTTGATTTGGAGAAGGGTCAGAATGTATGTAACTTGAAGAAGATGAGAGTTTAGAATTGCTCACAAGAGAGCAAACTGTTTCAGATGCAGTTTTCATGCAAGTGACTCTCTTCCCACCTTTGCAGAGTTCCCCTGAAGGCTCGGGAGAACATCTCCGACCCCTTGTCCCCGCTCAGGACCACTTTTGTCTACCGCTTGAGTGAGCTGTAAGTACTTTTATTTCCTAGCTTCCCTTGCCAAGACTTAACCTCTAAAAGATGCCAGAGGGCCAGATGTTCCCCTGGAACACCTAGAAAGGGGACAGCACTCTCCTGGCTCTGTGTGCAGATAAGCAAAAAATATTTGGGGTTCAGCAGGGGCATCTTCTCACCTCACTCCTCACACTTGTTCTATTTCCCATCTCTTCCAGCTGCAAAAACTGTCAACCCATAGAAATCGATCTGGGTGGGGCCATCCAGCAGGCCCAGCAGGGCAACTCCTGCGAGGAACCTCAGACCTGCTACACCTACGACAGGAACGAGTGCTACAGCTCCCCCGTGCCCCTGCTGTACCACGGGGAGGTGATGCAGGTGCCAGCAGCTCTGACCCCAGACTCCTGCTTCGCCCAGTAGCTCGGCCCTCTGCTGTGCCAGAGCCTCAGAGCACTCCTGTTCCTATCCCAAATACACGTAGAGCACCACAGCACCTGGATGGCAGCACCCCAAATGCTGGCTCCTGCAGAAACCCAACTTGTCTCTTCCCATTTCCAAGCTCAGACTTGTGCTGTCTCCCTAGAGCAGCTCCTGGCTTTCAGTGTCCCTTCTTGTGCCCCTGGCACGTACCTGCAATGCCATGCTGTGTCTCAGACCATACAGAGCAGATCCCCAGCACATATAGGGCAGGCATTCCCCTGGAGCCAAGGGAACTACAGTGATTTACAGCTCTGGGGAAGCTGTCCTTTTCAGTCTCCTGCTTGCCTCCATCAGCAGGAGCAGCAGGAGTGTCTGTGCCCTTCCCTCCCTCAAGTGACCTCTGCAGAACCTTCAAACAAAGCCTTTGATGACATTAGCAGCATTTATGCCCCTAGAAGAGAGTTGTAAAACCATAGCTGAGAGGAAAGATGAGGGACCCTTCCAGCAGTTGGACACCTGCAAGCTTCCAGTTCTCCCAGATTCAGAGATCAAAAGATGCTGCTACCCTGAAGTGTTTTGCAAAGTTGCCAAGCCCTCAACTGTGCCAGGAATACTCAACTCTTCTGGGAGATGCTGGGCATTTCACTTTCCCCACTGCTTTACTGATACTGCTGCCTTCTTCCACCCCTGCTCCTGGTTCAAGTGGTGAAAAAAAAATTAAAAATCAAGTAGGCTCAAATTTCTTTACTTGTTCCTCGTCTTGCATTTAAAACCTAAAAAAATTCTATAAATTGCTAGAGCAGAACCCTCATTCAGGGTTTTCATCATTCAGAATTAGAGTGATGAAACAGCAAAAAGCTTATTCCCACAATTGTAGTTTTGTTAGTCAAACATTCAATAAACTTTTTTCTGCAATCAAGCTGTGTGTTGTACTCAATTCAATAAGAAGGCATAAAAGGAAGCCAAAGCTATAATAATATTCTTTTCTCTTTCACAATTAATCAAACTCTCCCTAAATAACTGTTTATGTTTACAGGCAAAGTCTCCCAAAATACCACAATAGAAATATTTCCAAGCACTTGCATAACCTCTGACAGATTGAGGCTGAACTGGTTTATCATTTTAGGATCAGCTCTGCATCACTGAGCTGCTTTGATTCCCAATCAGTGCAGGATTTGAGTCTCAAAATCCAAACATCACCTAAATTAACTCTTGCAAGTGCAATCCACAGATCAGATGTTTTCATCACCCCTGAACAGAGTACTTTTAAGACAGGTAATCTGGGGGATGTTCTTTCATGTGCCAGGTAGCTGTCCTAAAGAAAAAAAATCTTGTGGGGCAAATTTTGAAGGACAAAGATATAAAAAAGGATTGACGCAAATTATTCTGATGTTATATCAGAGTTATAAAAAACAAACTTGCAAAAACCCTAAATTAACTCTTGCAAGTGCAATCCACAGATCAGATGTTTTCATCACCCCTGAACAGAGTACTTCCAGGACAGGTAATCTGGAGGATGTTCTTTCATGTGCCAGGTAGCTGTCCTAAAGAAAAAAAATCTTGTGGGGCCAAATTTTGAAGGACAAAGATTTAAAAAAGGATTGACACCAATTATTCTGATGTTATATCAGAGTTATAAAAAACAAACTTGCAAAAACACCATTTTCCCCTCTCCTTCATGCAAAAACCAGCCACTTCAAAGAAATGCCAAGAGCAAAGGGCCTCTTGGCAGCCTAAGTATTGCAGTGGGTATGTATAACTCACCAAAATTTGTCCCAAAGACATTTTCATCTTCAAAACCATTCCCCAGCCTCAGAATGCTGTGATGTTACAAGATGTTAGACCACAGCTATGAAGTAATGCCTGAGAGGGAGAAATTAGAGTTCTTTTCCATGGCACCCATTTAATCCTCATAAGACATTAAAAAGCCTCCTATCAAAACTAATATTTTGGGGTGCTCAAGCAACCTTTATGAAGCCAATTTGTAATTTCAAATAAACCTTTGCTATTCAGTTCCTACCACACACCAGGTGCTGGGTTTGACCTTTAAATGATGGTGTGCAACATTCCTCCCCTCAGAAAAAGCAACATTTGTGCTGCAGGGAAAGGAATGCCACAGCAAGCAAAGCTGAGGCTGAGAGCCTCTGCTTCCACACAAACACCTCACATCAGCACCATCAGCTGGACTGTTTTTCTGCCCTGGAGCTGCAAGTGACTGTGCATTTCTCAAGCCATTACAGGAACTGCCCCCTGCTCCCCTGAGCAGAACAACACAGCTCCTGTGTCTCAAATCTGCAAATAATTTATGAATCATGACCCAGAAATAAGTGTTTCTGTTGGACTTACAGATTTTTGACTTGTTTTTTAAGGAAAAGAGCATTAACCCTGTTCTCAATTACTGAATGAGAAATACTGAATCCAGGAAGACAAATTCCCTACAGCCATTAAGGGCCAAGAACTGACACAGAGTTTAAATGAACTGCTGGCAATCAAACTCATTAAATGTGTTCAAGTAAAGCCTCCCAGGCACTGTAAAAACTCCAGCTCTACAGCTCTTGATGGGATAAAAAGCTGAGGCTGATTGCAGCAAGAGCAAAAGAGAGCCAAGAGCTGCCCATCTCCAAATTCCCAGGCTAACACCACGTGCAGTTCTATCCCAACCATGAACTGTGCAGCCCCAGCTCCAACTTAAGTGATTAAAAAAAATAGAAATGCAGTGCACAGGAACACCTTAGTGCCTCAGGAACAGCTTGCCCTTTTCTTCCTTTTCAATAGAGCCTAGTTTACCTTAAGAACAAAACCCATTCTTTCAAGTTTGAGTGTGTTGGTTCTCTGTTCTGCTTTTTTTAGAGCATGTTTAACCCACATGTCAACTACACAACAAAAGGAAAACCTTCTAACACACTGTCACAGACAAAGTCCCTACAAAAGGCTTAATTCTCTATTAAAAAACAATTAACTAACAACAAAGCAAAAACTCCCAACTTCTCTATAATCCAAACAAGAGACATACCTATGTTTAGAAACTTTGAATATGAACAAAAAAAGGACATCTTAAAGAAGAAAACCAGCTCTTCTACTTAAATGTAAAAACCCCACTCTATCAGCATCTTATCTTCAGAAAAAGCAAAAATGAAGCTTTATTTATAAACACACATGGACCTGAAAAAAATATGCAAACACAGTGGAGTGTGAGGCTGAGCTCTTTTTCTGCTCTTTAGGTTGAACCATGTCATGTGGTGGTGTTTTGGTTTTGTAAAACTTTGAGCTGCAGGTGCTGAGGCAGGGAGCATGTAGGGTCAAGTGGGTGTGCTGGATGGGTCATGTAAGGGCTGTGCTGGAGCTCAGTAAAGGAAAGTTGTCTGAAAGTAGAGGCTGAACAGGTTTGGGTGCTAATGAACCAATTTAATAGCTGGTAAGGGAAATCTATCAAATGTCAATTTAATTCATTTGGTGATAGAGGGCTTGCTGTTGTTCTGTGCATGTGTTAACAGGGTTTTTTCTTTCCTTTACCTTTGCAGTCATTTTAGTCTCCAAGTAATGCTAAACTTTTTTCTTTGGTTTTTTTGTTTTTTTTTTTTTTTTGTCATCTGTGTAGGTATGTTGAAGGGCATGTGCTTTTCTTGCTTTAAAAGGTACAGGAAAGCCCAAACTCACTTGAGCTGGTCCATTTAGGTTGCCACTGTTAACACAGCAGCAGGTATGTGCTTGTCGGGGCCGCCCACGAGCCGCTGCTCCCCGCTGCCCCAGTCCCCGGCCTGAGGGGAGCGGGGCCGCCCACGAGCCGCTGCTCCCTGCTGACCGCTGCGCCACCAGGGGGCGCTTTGACGGAGCGCGCCTCCCGCATAGGTTTGTCCCTCGGCGGCGGCCGTCGAGGGCGGGGTAAGATGGCGCCGGCCAGCTGAGCCCTCGTGTGCTGCGCTCCCGGTGCCGGTGCAGCCATGTCGGGCCGCCAGGGCAACAAACTGCCCAGCAACCTGCCCCAGCTGCAGAACCTCATCAAGCGCGACCCCACCTCCTACACCGAGGAGGTGCGGACCGGGGGGTGGTTGGGGCGGCTGGGACGGGCGCGGGGTACGGGCGGGTGTTGCTCAGCCGTCTCTGTTGCTGTGTGTGCAGTTCCTGCAGCAGTACAACCACTACCAGTCCCATGTGGAGATCTTCACCTTCCAGCCGGACAAGCCCAGTAAGGAGCTGGCCGAGCTGCTCATGTTCCTGGCGCAGGTGAGCCCTGCACTAGCGGCTGTGCCAGCCTGTGCCTGGTACCGGCCTCAGTGATTGTTACCGATTACAAACATTTAAACTTAGAGCTTGCCAGCCCTGTGAGGGAGGCGCAGGTGTGCTCTAGAGCCTTCTCTTGCCCTGCCCCTCGCAGGTTGCCCACTGCTACCCCGAGCACATGGCCAGCTTCCCGCAGCAGCTGAAGGAGCTGCTCGCCTACCACCACACGGTGCTGGACCCCGACCTGCGCATGGTGAGACCGCCTTGGGCTCAGCCCGCCCTTGGTGTGAGCTGAGAGCTTCTGCTTTGCCTGTTAATGAAGACAAGCTGAAGAGGGATGTGAAATTTGGGTTCTCTTGCAGACCTTCTGTAAGGCTCTGATGCTGTTGAGAAACAAGAACCTAATCAACCCCACGAGTTTGCTGGAGCTCTTCTTTCAGCTGCTGCGGTGCCACGATAAACTGCTACGGAAGGTAAGGTGTGCTGACCAAAACCTGCATCTGCAGTGGGTTTTGACCAGCTTGCCAGGGGTAATGGCAACAGGCAGCTCTTTTCTGCTAGGCTGGGAAAGTAGAGTTTAAAATGGCTCAGCTGTTTGGGCAGTCAGTGCTGGAGGCAGGGCTCCAGCTCTGTGTTGGACTGGTAACTGAGTTTTGCTGCTGTAAACACCTCGCTGTTGTAGGCTTGTCCTTTTTGGGATTGAGCAGTTTGGTTGTCTCTGCAGGTGGAAAACCTGTCAGAACAGGCCTGAATGAGGCAGGGGCAGGATTTGAAGCAATATTTGATGCTGTTCATTGTCCTGCCTTCCTGTACTGTCAATTCAGTGTGGGTTTCAAATGCGTGAGTCTCCCCAGGATGCTCTCCTGTTGTTTTTCCTGCTGTAAGTCAGTGATGTTGTCAGAGGTGATCAGCTGGGTTGTGTCAGTGCTTGGGCAGGGTGTGTGTTCCTCTGTGTGTGTTACTCCCAGTCATCTCTCCACTTGCAGACCTTGTACACTCACATTGTGACAGACATCAAGAACGTCAATGCTAAACACAAGAACAATAAAGTGAACACGGTAGGTGCTTTGGCTTTCCTGTGTGCTTTCAACTGAGCTCCTGCTGTTGTAGAAAACCTCTAAAGACATGTTTTCAACTTGTTCTGTAGGCACTGCAGAACTTCATGTACACCATGCTGAGAGACAGCAATCCCACTGCTGCCAAGATATCTCTGGATGTGATGATAGAGCTCTACAGGAGGAATATTTGGTGGGTCTGGCAGGCTGTGTCAGCGTGCCATTATTGTGGGGAACATGGCATCCTTTGTGGCACGTAGTACAAAACAATGCAGGGGACAGTGGCTTAAATAGACTTTTTAATTGTAGCCCAGTGGAGTTGTGACTTGTAGCAAGGAATTCAGCTGAGAAGAAATAATGTTTTGTGTGAAATGAGTTATGTATTTGCTGAGAACTAATTTTCTGAGAAAGCAAAATTGCCAGACTTGAACTAAGATGTGGTTTGGTTTTTTTCCAGGAATGATGCCAAAACAGTCAATGTCATCACAACTGCCTGCTTTTCCAAGGTGACCAAGGTGAGAACAGAATCACTGATACACTGGATGTTACCTTGGCTACCTTCGTGTAGATATAAGTTAATATGCTGTTATAGCAAACCAGCTTCACTGATTTGTCTGTTGCTTGTTTAATTCTCTAAATAATCCTCATGGGAGGAAGTGGAGCTTGGCAGCTTATCTTGTAACAAGTGTAGCCTGGTACCCAGAGTGTGCATGTTCTTTTCACTGCTCTTCAGAGCAGACTGTCAGGATATCAGCTCCTTAATGTCAGCACTGTGAGCCTGTGGTTAACTGAGGAGAGCTGCTGTCCTGCCTGGGGTCTGACTGAATATTGAGCCTTCTGCATTGGCTCTGGAGGCTTTAAAAACTTGTCCTTGGCTTGAGACAAGGCTTTAACCTGTGAAAGTCTAAAAGTGGTTCCATTCAATAACAGTCAGCCAACAAAACTAAAAACCTAACCAGCAAAACAATGTGAATTAATTCAGGCTGAGAGTTCTGAGCATCACCTTGGCTCTCAGCTCTGTAGGGCCTCCTGACAGTGCTGACATGGAGCAACTACCTTGAAATCATTTTGCAGGATGATAAAAAGACAATGGGCAGTTTTGAATTTGGCTTTGTGGCAATTCAGGTGCTCTTTGGTTCTGATTGCCTCTGAGTGATGATGGGCAGCTAAAGTGGTCTGGGTTTGTAAAACACTTGTGCCTCTCAGGCTGTAACTTGGTTTGTTTTCTGATCAGATCCATGCCTGTTAAAAAAAAAATGGCTAAGTCTTTGCACAGCTTAAGGTGTGCATGTTGGGAGGCTGTAAATTCTGTCAGCTTGTCCCACACGATCTCACTTTACTTTTCAGGTGTTAGTTGCTAGTTTGAAGTTCTTCCTTGGGAAAGATGAGGATGAGAAACAAGGCAGCGAGTCGGAGTCTGAGGTGGGTGTTGTGACCAAATATTTCCCTTCTCTGGTTTTCAGACCCATTATTGGTTCTGTCATCTTGGTGACTCTGGCTTTGCCAGTCTGTCTGCCTTGATGCTACTCACTGTCCTGTCTAGCTGTGCCCAGATGTTTCTGTGGTTCACAAACCATTTCAGTGTGTGACATCTGGCCCCTGGATGTCTTTGCTGGCTGTTAAAACACAAATGCTAAGAGCTCTTTTCTTTTTAGATGCTGGTGCCTATGTGTTCTGACCCTTAGGAAGGGGATAATTTTCAGAGTGTGTGGTATTGAAAAATATTGGCAGTTTGATTTTGTGCTTGCCATTTGAAGCCTGGCTTACCTGAGTGCTGTGTTCCTTCCCCAAGGATGATGGCCCCACGGCCAGAGATCTGATGATGCGCTATGCCACCAACAAGAAAACCACCAAGCGCAAGAAGAAACTGGAGAAAGCCATGAAGGTCCTCAAGGTGAGGAGAGGGCTCTCTGACCTGCCATCATGGGTTGATCCTTCTAGGACAGAAGCCCTGTTGTTGCCCTGCTTGTTTAGCTACAGATGGCAGATGGTGCTGTGTGATTGAAAATGGGGTTGGTTTTTAAAATCTTCTTGAAGAGGCAGCAATCTTTTGACAGCACTTGAGTTACTGAAAGAGAAATGTTTTTTACTCTTGTTTCCATGCAGAAGCAGAAAAAGAAGAGCAAGCCAGAGGTGTTTAACTTTTCTGCCATTCACTTGATTCATGATCCCCAGGGTGAGTGTGCAGTGTGTTCTCTTAGTGCAATTTGTGTTAATCTAACAGCACTTGATTTGATTATCTGTTCCAGTGAACCTCTGGGGATCTAATTTTCTCAGGTCAATCTAAAATGTATCTAAACATTCAGTTTTCAGTGCTGACCCAGCACTTATGTTGTGGGGGAACATCTGCTGGTTTCCTCTGCTGAGCCTGGGCACAGGAGGCCTTTTAGGCATATGAGAAGTAAAATAACCCATTGGAGTAAGTGCTTTGGTCACCCTGATTTTGTTCTGTGAGAGGGTGCTGGGCCTTCCAGACACAAAAAAATTCAACTGCCTCTTCTGACCATAATCCCATTTGAGTTCTGTGTCATGCTCGTGCAGTCTTGTGCAAAACTATTTTTGCTTCTTCCAGACTTTGCTGAAAAACTGCTGAAGCAGCTGGAGAACTGCAAGGAGCGATTTGAAGTGAAGATGATGCTCATGGACCTGATATCTAGGCTTGTTGGAATACATGAGGTATGTACTTGGATAATTTTAGGGTGGTCTGTTGGTAGCCAGCCTGGTTTGGTTGTGGGCATGTTCTGGCCTGGAAAGCAAGATTTAATTTTTCTGTATCTCCAAGAGGGTGTAGGGATGGTCAGGGAGTTGCCAGTAGGCCTTGTGGAATGGCACAGTGGTACAGACCTTGTGGTACTAAGTGAGCACTCCTAGAGCAAGCCATTGGTCTGGAACAGAGGAGCTGAACCTAAAGAAGAAATGAGAACTTGGTGCTTCAAGACCTTCCTGGGAAGCTGCTCATGCTGACCACAGAGCTGTCAGGTGGTGCTGAACAAGAGGGAAGTGGGCAGCTTCTGCCCTTGGAGGGTTTTGTGCAGATTACCCAGTAATAAAGTATTTGCACTGGATTAAGTAAATACTAATCCAGTCCAAGCTGGGCAGTTTCAGGGCATATAAGGATTTAAATAGTAAGGGCTAGGTGCTAAGAGACTGCAGCTGTATTTATCTTGGTGCAGTTCATTTCCTTGTCCCACAGATATTAAACTCCACGTAGGAGACAACATTTTGCTGTAAAATCTGAGGCATTTGGGGAGCTCATTAGAATGTGATGGTTTTGCTGTGTATCATCTTATAAAGGTGATCCCAAGTTCTAAGACAAGAAGATAATATGTTGCCATTTGCCTTGCAGCTTTTTCTTTTTAATTTCTACCCCTTTGTTCAGAGGTTCCTCCAGCCCCATCAGAGGGGTAAGTAGCTACTCCAGGTACTGGTGATCCCTCATGTCTCATGTACAGGCATTTGATGGAAGTGGCAGTGGAAATGTGCAGGTAGCAGTGCTTTGCTGGGAACTGGCAGCAGTCCAGTGTGGACAAAGGAAATAAAAGTCCCTAACTGCTGGAAGTGCCAAGTTCTTTTGGCTTCTGTGAAGGCTGTGTGCACTCGGGGCTCCTTACCTGAGGATTTGAGCAAAGGAATAAAAGGAATCTGAGTCCCTAATCCTGACTAGCTAAGCTAAGCATGGTTGCCTTATGGTGGCTTCCTTTTCCTGGGGTTTGACTGCAGTTGTGGAGCATTTCCTTTTGCTTCAGCAGGCTGTTGTGGCTGGGAGGCCACAGGAGTTCCTAATGTTTGGTGGGAGAGGAGAAACAGTTGTCCCAAGGGAGTTCAGGCAGAAAGGTTTTGGGCCTAACTGAGCAGCTTGTTGAGTTTTAAGGGATATGTTCATTGGCTGGAGCAAGCTGCAGCAATATGTTTTGGCATCTTCTTTCTCCTTTTCTTCCAGAAGTGACAAAGATTCTTCTGTTTGCTGCACAGGCTTCACATCAGCTGGTACCACCTGAGGTCAGTGTTCTGCCTGTGGTGGGTATTAAATGAGCAGCAGGGCAGCATGGAAATGCAACTGAGTGTGTATGGGCAGGGGCAAGGGGAATTAGTCAGATTGGTTGGAAAAGCTTATGGTAATTGCAGTCATTTTTGCAAATTCTGAGGCATTGTTTCATAATGGGGGAAAAGAAAGATGATTGTTTTACTTTATGCAAGAAAATTTGTGTTTAGAAAAAACTTGTGGGCTGTACTGACATGTCCTCGTGTGAATTTGTATGAAAAAGGATGTGTCTGTGAATAACATCTAAGTGTGTTAAATTTTTATTAAATATGTGGGGTTTTTTTTATTTTCAGATTATCCAGTCAGTGTTGATGACCATTGCCAACAACTTTGTCACAGACAAGAATTCTGGGGAGGTCATGACTGTAGGGTGGGTACAGAATTGTATCAGTCATGTCCAAGTCCAAATGTGGTAAAATATTTTTTTTTTCAACCACTTGCTACTTATTCCTGTTACTTTTGCTATGCTTTCAAGAAGCTGCTTGAGTTAAAAGTACGTTAGCTTCAATGTTCTGTATTTTTGCTGGGAGTATTTTCTGATGGTTTTCTCCTCTTACACCGTATGTTGTATAAATGCTGTCTAAGGTTCTTCAAGTTTCAGGTAATTCAGTCTGTCAAGTGGCACTTTCTCCTAACTGATGTTGAGAAAAGAATTCATCTTCCCTATTTCCAGAATCAACGCAATAAAAGAAATCACTGCGAGGTGTCCCTTAGCCATGACTGAAGATCTGCTCCAAGACCTTGTTCAGTACAAGACACATAAAAATAAAAGTAAATATTACATGGATACCACTTTCAACTCTTTTTTTTTCCTGTGTTTTGTGGTCTTCAGTTACAGCCTTGATGGAAGTGCTGTCCTAATTGGTTTTTACAGGCTGAGACCACTTTGAGTGCTTGGGTTGCATCTCTCTTTTTTCAGTGTGTAGCCATGGGAGACAAAACAGTCAAGGGTAGTTATGGCAGGGGAACTAATTGACAAAACCAAAGCAAGGAGAGGGATTGTTAAGAGTTAGCCCTGAGGAAGTGCTGTGTTCTGTACCAGAGAAATCAGAGGGAACCATAAGCTCAGAAGATGTGAGTCAGCTGTAAGATCTCCCCACAGCTGGAGATCTGTGTGGGCTTTTGGTTTGCTCCAAGTTCTGGTTTTCTCTCCCCACAGCTGGAGATCTGTGTGGGCTTTTGGTTTGCTCAAAGTTCTGTTTTTTTCCCTGACTCTCTCGTTTTTTGGGCAGATGTGATGATGTCTGCAAGAACTCTGATACACCTGTTCCGCTCTCTGAATCCAGAGATGCTGCAGAAGAAGTTCAGGGTAAGTGTTTCATGTGTTTTGCACTCAGTCAACACTGATATGTGCAAAAATGATGAGACTTGGTCTCAGTGTCCTCTTGGGAAGGTGGAGTCAAGTCTGTTCCTCTGCCTGCTGCCTTTGGACATGCTGTGCTCTCCACATTTTGTTAGTTCACATTGCTCTAACTCATGGTTAGGTCATGCTGCTGAAGTTCAGCTCTTTTGACACATTCAGCCTGAGTCATTAAACTCTGCCACATGAAGTAAGGAAAGGCTTTTGGAGCCACAGCCTCCTGTTCTTCCAGGTATCTTCATGGACTGGTGGATGTTACAATAGCAGCCTGCTCAATGTGTCTTTTGTTACTGTACAGGGTAAGCCTACTGAGGCCTCAGTGGAAGCCAGGATTCATGAATATGGAGAACTGGATGCCAAAGACTACATTCCAGGAGCAGAAGTACTGGAGGTTGAGGATCAAAAGGAAAAGGGAGGAACCCAAGAGGAAGGTTGGCCTTTTTTCTTTAAAAATTCTGGTTTGGGCATGACCATCACTAAGGTTTTATGTGGGCATGGAACCTGTCATTTCCTACTGTGCCTTGGCTTGCATATGTCTATCCTTGAGTAAGTGCAGTTTGTCAGTGGGGTTTGGTTTTGTTTGGTTTTTATGGTACACACTGAGATGGGAAGCAGAGGGACACACAGTACAGCTGTGAACTGTGTTCAGCTTTTCTTGAATGAAACCTTTTGAATATTGTAGAACACCAAAATAGTAGTTGGATATAATATTTGGCTTATTGAATTCCGTTCCTGTGTCAATGCTTTACACACCCTGGAACCCCTGCCTGAGTCAGAAGAGATGGAAGAGCCTTTAAAAGCAAGGCAGATTTGGAGAATGAAGTCTGAGTGCCTTGAAGATGCTGCAGGTGCTGTGCTGGAGGAATGTAGGCCCTGATGGGACAGGCTGTGCAGTGAAGCTATAACTGTAACACTGCTAACTCCAGCTAGGCCCTGATGGGACAGGCTGTGCAGTGATCACTGTAACACTGCTAACTCCAGTACAGCAGCCAGCATGGCAGTGAAGAGCAATGCTTAGACTCTTAACTAACCCAGCTATAAACCACAGTACTTCTCTTGTTGGGCTGGTTTAGGTGGCTGGGAGTGGGGAACCCTATTGCTGCCGAGGGTAATCAGTGTCTGTTAACTCCTGTGGTGCTTCAGGCTGTCCCAAATGCACCTAGTTTTTAGGGTCTTGCCCTGGAGAGGACAAATGAGCTTTGCAGAGTGTAGTGTTGATCATGTCCCAGGGCAAAATGCGATTAGGAGCTAAGTGAAATAAATGAAAGGTGGTGAGAGCAGGTGATCCAAGCATCAATTATTGCCAGTCTGGGTAGTGAAGATGAGTTTGTATTAACAGCTCTGTTCTTGTTCTGTGAGCAGATGGCTGGGAAAGTGCTAGCCTGAGTGAAGAGGAGGACAATGATGATGGAGAATGGATTGATGTGCATCACTCCTCGGACGAGGAGCAGCAGCAACAAGTAGTGAGTTGGAAGTCTCTTTTATGCCAAATATATATGAGTCTTGTTAATTACAAACCAGATCCTATTGCTCTTCATTCTCATGTACCCAGGCCTTCAGAGTGAGCTGTCCTGAAGCAGTGAGGCTGAAGTGCTGTTCAGCAGTGCTGCTGCAGTACACATGCTGTGAGGGTGGGAGGGGAGAAGGAGGAGTTATATCTCAGGGCTCAATGCCTTCAGAGCTGTGATCATCAGCTGAGAGCTTGTACTCCCAAAATCTGGTGTGTGTGTGTACTCCATTCAGACACTAGGTGTTGGCTTTGAGACAAGGAAAAGGCCTGACATCTGATTGTAGCATTTCCCAACAACACTGCCATTGCATGATGTGTATTTGTGAGCCTAGGATTGTAGCACAGGAGTGGGGTGCAAGGCTCTGATTCTTTTGTACCATTTTCTTTTCCAAAGGCAGAAAAAGTGAAAAGCATGCCCATAGAGGAACGGAAAGCCAAAGCTGCAGCAGTCAGTACAAGCAGGCTGCTAACTCAGGAAGACTTCAAGAAAATACGTCTTGCCCAGCTTTCCAAAGAAATCAATTCTGCACCTGGCAAAGCTGCCAAGCGCAAATATATTGAAATAGATGATGAAGAGGAGGAGGAGGGCAGGTAGGATATGGGCTGTTTGAGTGGTTTGGTTTTTTTTTTTACCTATTCTCTGCTGATGCAGCTCTTCATTGCAGCAGGGTGCAGAGCTCTGCTGTTCATCAGTGTTCCCTGGTGACAGCCAGAACCTAGAATGGGTCCTGGGCTGGGACTTTGCTTAGCCCTGGGGGAAACGTCATGAGGAGCTTGTGGAAGGTCTGAGACTGTTTGACTTGTTCAGGCCAACAGGTGTGAGAGGGGGTGTTTTGCAGCAGTAGCTGCCTGGTTGTAGCTCCAGTGTTTCTTAAACTTGGTGGAAAAAGGACTTGAAAAATGAGTGGGTGACTTGTGTAATGGATATCCCAAGCATGAGGAGCAGCCTGAAGGGAACAAGAAGTATTTGTGTCTAAACTGATGGTGAGACAGTGGTCTAGGATGGGTGAGAGACCAAGGGTGAAGAGGGCATGTTTTTTTCCTTGCCAGCTGAAGTTTTGTGTGCTGATATTTATTGGATTTGTGTGTAGGGGAGAGTTGCTTTCACTTAGAGATATTGAACATCTACATAAGAAGCCCAAGTCGGACAAGGAGACCAGACTGGCAACTGCAAAGGTGAGGAACTGGTGTGTCCTGTATCCTGTCCTTTTGGTTTTGGGTTTGTGTTGTGCAGGAGGAAATGCTGAGGCTGCATATCTAAGGTAGGTGCCCAGCTGCCATGTGGGTTTTGACAAGTGATTTGTTTCGTTCTTTGCTGTTGCATCTTGGCTGTAACAGTCTCCTGCTGGTCACATGTGACCATGAAAAAGCAAACAGACCCAATTTTCATTGTGACTTAACAAATACAGCCTGTATGGGAGAAGGCATGTATGAACACAGTCATGATGAACTCAGATTGGCTGTTACTGCCATAGAACCTGTTACCATCAGGCAGGTGATGTTGATAGTAGGTGAAGGAAAATGACCCCCTGTTGCTCTATCACACTGTCTATTCTAGGCTGGAAAAACAGACAGAAAGGAATTTGTGAAAAAGAAAACCAAGATTAACCCATTTGCCAGCTCTTCCAACAAAGAAAAGCAAAAGAACAAGAACTTCATGATGATGAGGTACAGCCACAGCGTCCGGACCAAGAACAAGCGTTCCTTTAGGGAGAAACAGGTAATGTTTCATGTTGGAGATGGATGGGGCAGTGTGAGCAGTCATTTGTGGTACAGCTGTGGTGCTGCCTGCCCTCTGCAGAGGTGTTGCTGCTGTAACTCAAAGCCTGTGGCTTGGCTTGCTCGAGTCCTACCCTGGAGGAAGAGCTGCTTGGCAGGTTGTGGTTCACTCTCCATAGTCTGACCTATCACAGACTCATTTGTCCTGGCACAGAGGTCATCTAATAGCTTGTCACAAATGTTCCTGAGGAGTAGGTGCACATGCTGTTTATTAGCTGCTGTTGTAGCTGCTGTTTAGAAAGAGATTGTCCTGCCATAGAGGTCATCTAATAGCTTGTCACAAATGTTCCTGAGGAATAGGTGCACATGCTGTTTATTAGCTACTTGGAGCTGCTGTTTAGAAAGAGGTTACTTGAATTCAACAGTAGTTTGACACTAGTGCTGCTCTCAGTGGTGAAGCCCTGCTAGTCTAGGGTTTTACAAGGTGTTAGAAACTCAACTCATCCAAATGCCTTCAGGAAACTTGTAAATAATCCAATGATCCGGGTTTCTTTCTTCCCAGATGGTGTTTTGTGTGAGTGTTTATGTGCTGCTTGAACTTGGAGTTGTTTCCAGGATCATACCCCTTATCCAAATGATATTTGTCTGCAATTTCTTGCCGTAGGAAGGGCAACACAGGGACTGTTAGTAGACTCCATAGAGAATATCTGAAGCTTTTCTGTTGATCAGGAGGATGTGGACTGGTACTAGTATGTGTCCTCTGTACATGTTTATTTGGCAGCATTCTGCCTCACCTCAGTTAAAGCTAACAACATTGAAACCAGCTCTCAAAACACACCCAATAGGCTGCACATGAACAATCCAGGCTCTTGAAAAAAGCTGCTGTTTACAGTTATACTTGGTGCAGTTATTTAAAAAAGAAACATCTTGAAGATTGTGTTCTCATTAATGTTTTAAATTCAAATGGAATGGCTAAACAGCATTTATTCTTACTTTTTTTTATCCCATGAAAGTTACACTACAGTGCCAGTCTGTTAACCATAAGTGTTTTGTGTGGGTGGGAGGATCTTAGTTGTATGGTGCTGCATTCTGCTACACTTTTTGGTTGTAAGTTAAGATGGCCTGCTTGCTGTAGTCCAGAGCTAGCTCCTTTACTAGCCTAAAACATGTTAATGTTCAGTAATATCTCTTTAGAGTGATAATGGTACTTGGAAAAATTCCTCCTTCCCCCTTGAAAAGCTGTTTCGTTATACTCCTTCATGAAACACCAATTTCACTTACCCCTCAGCTGAACTCTAACTTTCTTGATCTCTTCTGTTTGAAGTGAGTCAGTCGAGTAGTTTGTTCTAATCTTCTTTGTGTAGGATTTGGTAATGCCCAGCTCTTAAATTGTACTGTCAAGTTTATGTACATAACCCCAGTGTTTCTGCCACTCTGATTGTTAGCATTTGCACTGCTCCCAGTGTGAGCTGGTGAACTCCCAGTGTTCTTAGCAGAGGTTAAAGAAATTGAAAAGAGTTCTGATATGGTAGTGGTGCTTTCTCAGTTATGCTTCTTACCTGAATATTCCCCTCTTGTTTTGTGGTTAGCTGGCTCTTAGAGATGCACTTCTGAAAAAGAGAAAACAGCTGCTGAAATAAATGCTGGAGAGAGCTTCATCACCCTTGAAGTCACCCTGGAGATGCTGATTTGCACCCACCATCACCCTGAGGGAAAGGAGGACTGTGGTGCCTTACAGACTTAGCTGTGATCTGTTTGGAAATGCAAATGGAACTCTTGCAAGCTGATGGACACTGCATTAATAGGACGCAGGCCTTAATCCTTGGAGGATTTGATGTTGTTTTTAAAGCGTTGTAGGGAAGAAGGCAATTATATTTTTATTTCATGTAATTTACTTACAGTGGGTTTTGTATGTGGAAGTATTAAAATACACAACTGTATGGTAAAGATTCTACTTGAGGCAATTAATGACTAAGCAACAGAAAGAAAAAAAGAATATTCTGGTCAGTCTATAAAGCATGTGGATGTACTGTCTGTGCCTGTCTTAGGGAAGTGACTGCACAGATGGAGTGAGCTGTTGTCTGAGCAGTTGGCTTTGACCAATTTAATACCAAATTCATCTGTGATGCAGGTAAAATTAATTCAAGCGTTTTGGGGAAGAACAGTTCATTATGGCTTACTAAGAAAGGAAAAATCTAAGTGGTGTATTGGGTTTTTTGTTGGCATTTAAGTACAAAAGTAACATCACATACCAGAGGAAAAAAGAATGTTTTCCTATTGTGCTGTGCCTTTTGGTGGAGCTTGCCAGTGTCTCTTGGCAAGTACATGCAAAAATCATGTGGGTGTTTGGATTCTTTGTCCAAGGTTGACCTTGTGCTTTAGCCTTGACCTCTGTTGGACCAGTTAATGGGTTCTTTGTACCTTCCCCAGGCACCTGTTTTAATGGAGTTGATGAAGTAATTTTGAGTTAGTTATTTTTACCATCCTCTTTCAAAGCCTGTTAGAAATGGAATTCTTTGTGGTGCAGAAACAGGTGCCACACGTACAGTACAATGGAAATGCATTTGGTGGGGTGCTTTTTTCCTTTCTTTTTAGGAAGCCAGATTCATCTTCATATCCCATGTAGGAATTCACTTAGCTTAGGTATTTGTTAAACACGTATTTGTAATAACGTTAATTCTTTCTTGCGAGGGTTTTGTTTTGTTTGTTGTCATTCTCCTTCCTAGAGCAAAAAACCTTAGAGAGGCTTAAGGGAGAGAAGGACAGAGTAGGGTTGTTTGTTTTGGTTTGGGTTTTTTTTCAGCTCTGTTTTATTCAAATTCTATGTTCCTGCTGAGGGAAGGGCAGGGTTTGGTACTCATCAGGGAGGGCAGTGAGCTCTCAGGTGGAGGAGCACGTGTAGCTGGGAGCCGAAGTGCTGTTGGGATGGAGTGTGGAGCAGGGGCTGGAGCCAAAGGTAGGGGGAGAAGTACAATCTGTAAACCACAGTTGTACTGGTGGGGGCGTTTTTTTCTGCTGAGCAGTTTCTTTTCTTGTGCATGTGCCCAGAAACTATTAACCTCTGACACTGAAAGAATGGCCATTTTTTGCCCCCGCGCTTGAGGACAACGGTCTCCTCTCTTCCTGTTTCCCCCTTGTTTACAGCCTTGCTGTGTCAGCCAGCGTGCTGACAGCTCTGCCACGCGCGGCTTTGTCCCCTCTGCCCTCGCTGTGGGAGCGACAGCGTTGGATCGGGTTTGATTCAAGCGGCCCAGCAGCAGTGCGACACACCTGCCGCTGCGTCCGCTCGGTGCCGCGTCCCACGGGACGAAGCGGGCGGGCCGTGACGCCTCGGGGCGGGGAGGGGCGGGCTGGCCCCGGGGCGCCGCCGCCGCTCCATCGCTCCACCGTGCGCCATGGGCTGCGGGCCGTGGGCGCTGCTGGCGCTGCTGTGCGGGGCGGCGGGGGCGGCGGCCCCCCTGCGCTGCAACGTGAGCCTGGACAGCCCGGCCGAGCAGCGCTGGCTGCCCGTGCTGCGGCACTTCGAGCCCGCCTTCCTGCGCGCCGCCGTCCAGCGGATCATCGAGTGCGTGCGGCCGGGCGGGGGGACGAGCGGGGCAGCGCCGGGAGGGCTGACGGAGCAGCGCAGGGGTAACCCGGTGAGAGCCGCTCTCGGCTCACCCCTCGGTGTGTCTTGCAGCGAGAGCGTACCCAAATGGGTTCACCAGGTGATCCAGCCCATAGCAGCAGAACTGGAGCTTTTCATGCCGCAGCCCTTCGCGGGAGAGATTGTGGGGATGTGCAGAGCACTGGGAATCAATATCGGAGATGGAATCCTGCTGAACTTCGCCTACGAATCCACTGCGTAAGTGTTGAGTACTTACACGGTCTCGTAGAGGTGAGCGGAGAGCTGCGGTTCAGCGTGGCCGAGGCACGTGGTGGGTTACTTGCACTGTTGGATCTGAGAGCGCTTCATCTGTTCAGCCGGAAGGTTTCCTTCTTTTTTGGCAGATGGAATGCTGAATGGAACGAGAAACGGTCATGTTTTCTATCGGGAAGTACAACCAAGATCTGTCATCGTTTTGTGCATATACATATATATAGACATACTAAAATCCAAAAATCGTTTTTGCTGGTAAGGTGTGTCCATCCAAAAGTAGAGACCGTTTATGTTTGAAGGTGATGTAATGCTCTCTGTCACTTAAAAGTTGCCAAAAAGCAGGCTAGAATAATTAGTTGGTCTCTGCTTTATCTGAGATAAAGTTACTCCTAAACTGCTTTCTGGATGAAAGTTCACAATGGCTGCATAATATCACTTCCCGACTTGAACAGTGGAAAATGACTGTAGTATATTTATGGCAGTAAACAAAATCTTAGTGAAAAAATACTGAGTTTCATTATCTCTTTTTGCCCTGGAAACACGGTGCAGGAGAATAATCAACAGTTGGTGTTGCCTCTGGGGAGCCTAAAATAATTCTGCATGTACATTTTAGCGAATATCAAGGCATATGGCTCTTTCTTTGCACTTTGATTATTTTTTTCCTTAATATGTAGTACTCAGTTTATAATTTTTTTTAGTAAGGATTAATATTGAATATGATATATCTAACTGCTGGCTCTTTAGTGTTTCACAGAGGATACTTGCCATACTTTGCCTCGGTGAGGCCCCTGAAATTCAGTTTCTTGGCTTGGACACTAGAAAACCCCCATCAGCTGGGAATAGCATATTTATGTGAAGAATTGTTTGCCTTTATATTCTTGAGAGGCAGAGTTATGCATCATTGAAATGACCAGCTCAGAACCAACAGAGAAAATAATTTAATTCCCTGCTAATGCAATATAATGCACAAAAAAAACCTGTTATAATGAAACTGAACTTGTTACACAAGGAGTTAGAGCACTCTTCCTGTTCTAGAGAATAGTCTGTTATTGAAATGGCTGATACATGAAGGAATTTTCTTCAGTTTTACTGCTAGGACTTAATTTGAACTTATCTACTTGTGATTAAAATTATAGACAGTCCAAATAGAAATGAAATAATTAACTGCAGCAAGTGTGACACTTTATGGATGCTTTCAGATGTTAGCTTTTCATTATGGCTTACAAAAGTTAAATGCAGTAATTGTTTTTCCCAAGTGGAAGTGCTGCTTTCTGCTTGCCCTGTAATTCTGACCTGCTGTGGACTGGTATTGGACTCCTCATTGCATGGTGACATTAATTAAACAATTAGCAGAGCATCAACTCAGTTCCTCCTGAAATGCTGGGCTCCTGCAGCTGGCATATTGCAAGCAGTGCCAGAGCTGTGCCTTCAGTCATTCCCTGCCCTGTTCTGTTTGCAGGTTCTGTACCAGCATTGTGGCTCAGGATGACAAAGGCAACATTTACCACGGTCGGAACCTGGATTACGATTTTGTCGATATATTGAGCAAGATCACTCTGGATGTGCAGTTCATCAAGGGTGGGCAGGTATGCTCTGGGGTTAGCGTGGCTGGGGGGTGTTCCATGAAGAATGGGACAGCCCCATAGCTGCTTAGATGGGGGGTTTAATGTAGGAATGGGGTTTTTATCCCATATATGCTGGATTGTTAGAGCAGCACAGTTATGCCCCAGCAATGTGGGATGAAGGCTGATTTTCTTTCCTTACTGAACATCCAGTTTATGGTGATGGACTGGAAAAAGTAGAACAGTTTAATCTGGTATTGAAGATATTATTTCTAAGAGATGCTAAAAAAGGAAAGATATATTAGGGAATATGGCAAAGAGATCAGTTTTGGTAGGAACCAATTCTAAGGCACTTTCTTTTTCTTTAGACCTTGTGAATTTCTGTGACCAATAAGTGTCTTTAGACAAATATTTCCAAAAAAAAATTAGTTGCTAGTACAGTTTTGAGTCTGATTTTTTTTTTTTAAATCTTCATTAGTCCATTTTGTAAACAGAAAAGTTATTGTTGGTTGCTTGGCAGTTTAAGCTGAGCAGAAGTCCTGTAGCTGTCAGTGATCACAAACAACTGAAATGTTGTGAGTTTGAGGCCTCAGAGTCCCTCTCTAATTTACTTGGCATGTTTTCCTGTAACTGAAGGTGCAGTGTGCTCTAGTAATGTAGGTATGAAAGCTGTAGAAAGAAGTACAGGCTGCAGGTTCCAACTGTTCTGGAATGCTCAACTGCTCTCCTTCCTGGTTTCAGGTTGCGTACCAGGGCACGACATTTCTTGGTTACGTAGGCTTGTGGACTGGGCAGAGTCCACACAAGTTCACCATCTCCGGGGATGAACGAGGTAAAGGGAGTGTCTCCCACAGCACATGTTGTGTGTTGTTGTTGATTGTTGCCTGCCCTGGCCTTTTTCTCCCAGAGGGAGCAATGAGGTCAAGGTTGCCAAGAAGGATGTGAGGTGGAATGCCTTGACTTGCCCTCAGGGTGTGAAAGCACACATGCCTGGTTTTGGCTGCTGTGTAGGAGAAAATATTTGTCAGCAGTGTCACCTGAGCTGAAAGTGTCAAAGGATGGGGAAAAGCCTTGGGAATGCTGTAAAAGGTGTGGTTTGGCCAAGAGACACCATCGGAGGTGGCAGAGATGGAGCTGAGACAGCAAGATGCAGTTTGGACAGCAAAGAAATGGCTCCTCTCCTGGTTCTGCTGTATTCCATGGTTGTCTGGCCTCAAGGCAGTTGGAAAGAGGGGGAAGATCTAGGGGAAAGGCAACATGCCTTGAGGGAGTGTCAGGAGACACAGAAAGACAGTTAAGCAAGATCAGTAGTAGAGCAGAGTTGAGAGATGCCAGTACTGAGAACTCAAGCTTGTAGCAGTGGGGAAGGCAGGGGAAGGTCACTGGTTCATCAGGGTTTCCTTCAGTTCCACAAGTAATGGCAGTTATGTCCAACTCAAAGCTTGGGAAGTTGTCTCCTCCCTTTCTTCTCCCTGTATTCCTTTTAAGAAGCTGATACTGTTATGTTCTTTTAGGTGACTTAGAACTGGCAATAATGTATTCTCAGAACTAACATCTAAAACGTTTATTTTTCCCTTGTGATGGCGATAAGCGTTTTT